TGCGGCGGTTTGGTTGCTGTCTTTCGTCGGCCATTTGGGTGAAGAGTAGGAGAAGACAGGAAAGTTGAGTCGAACAGAAAATGGAGAATATCAGTGGTCTAAGGTTGCCAAGAAATTGAGAATATGCACGAACGACAATGTTTACGAGACCCAGTCATATCACTCAGCGTCTCTAACCATCGGTGACCATCAGCCCGAGGTCCCCAGCCAGGGAGCCTACAGGCAACAATGTGACCCAGATTCCTGGTTAGAGTTTCCATACCCTCCCACTAGGCCTTAGGTTGACTATCCTTGACTTTTTTCCATTCACTACCTGCCTCAGCGAACATCGCTCGCCGTGGCAACCTNCAACCAACGCAATCTAGGGGTGCAGAAAACTTGGACCAGTGGGCGATCGTAATTTCCCAAAACTCTACGCCTAACCTCAGGATTGCTTGTCCGGTTGTACCACTAGATTCCTGCAATGTTATGTAGACAGTGGTGTTCAAACACCGACAATTAAGTGGGTATAGTATATCTCCTTTCTGCATTAGAGATTCGAAATTCGATCCTTAGTTGAACAGAGAGAGAGATTCGCATCGGTGATGAGGTGTGACAATGTTCACAATGCTCCGTAGACGTTCAGATCAAGTTTGCTTGACTCTATACACATCATGCAATGGAATTAAATCCCCGCACACTTGCACACCAACCGCGTAGTAAACCTGGCGCATGGTGCTCGTAAGAGCATAAGTGTGGTTCGATACTGGCAACACGCTTGCCTAGAGGGTTTGTGCAATACCATATGAGCATACAACCCAAATGTTCGAAGAGAGAGTGGCCTTGTAATTGGGATGAAACGGAAACGGTAAACATTCGCCTGACTCAACTGTGAGGCACAAAAAGGTATATACCCTAGTAATGTGAGAACTAATGCTCTGGTGGAACGGGCAAAACACAAATTCACCGTAACAGGAAAATGAGTACAAACACACAAAGCATTTTCACTAGGCTACAAGTCAGAATGGGGTAGGAAGAAACTTATTTAGGCGGAGCGTCACGTTTAAGTCGAGAACAGATCTCACCTCAGACACAAATGGACTACAGTCGCGCCGAACCGTTTCTAGACCCTTGGCGTCAAACACCGGTCCCGTCTGCGAGGCATCCTGGTAAGCGTAACCAGCGTACCGTTTTTTAGCCTCCAACAAACAGGGATAGTAAATCTGGTGGTAAAAATGAAAGAGCACGAAAAGTGATAAATGATATCACACAACAATTATGATAAAAAGTTGAAACCAAAGTAATTCATTCATGTTTGAGACGATGCCACTCTTAAGGATGGACAAAAACGACGAGGAGAATGAGATTTCAACTGGGGGCTCATTTTGCGGGTGTTTGGTCATCCAGAGTTATCTGCACCACATAGCGGTGATAATTCGGTTTTTTTATAATGAGTAGTATATGAAAGGCTGGACAAAATCTCACCGAAGCAGAAGACCAGTACTGCGGTCCTTTCCGCTAGTCAGGTATGTCTTCGGTAATCTTCTGTGTGATCATTCCTATATTTGAACTCCCGAAGAGACTTATGAGATGTTTCAGTTTGTTTTTACAACCATTAACCATGCACTATCGTGCGCCGGTATTCATCGCTGTCTTTTGGCTGCCCATTTGGATGAACATGAGGAAGACAGGAAAGGTTGAAAGTAAGACCGAAGAGAAAATTTAGGATTCCATTGCACTAATTTTGCAAAGAAAGCGACGATGCACGAACGCCACTGTTGACGACACCAGGTCATATCACACAGTGTCTCTAACCATCGGTGACCATCATCTAGGGGTTTCCAGCCAGGAAGGCCACCTATGTGACCCAGTCTCCAGGTTGGGGTTATCATAACCTCATGCCAGGTTTAGTTTTACCACCCTTGACTTTCTTCCACCCAATTCCTGCCTCAGCGAACATCGCTCACCGTTGCAACCTAACTGGTGACATGCGTAACATATGTCCCAAACATGCTTATCCTGTTTCCTTGATGCCCAACTGTCTACACCGTACAGCACAACCGGTCACACTGCATCAGTATACATTCGACCCTTCACAGACAGCCGGATGTCGCGATGGCACCACAGATGTCTCCAATTGCCAAATGCCAATCGAGCTGACCTTTCATCCGTGATACGTCCACCGGGTGAGATGTAGCTGCCCAGATGACAAAACTTATCCTCCTG